CATTTTCCTTTGGAAACAGACCACAGCCACTCAATAAACACTGAGAGCCTAGTATGCGCCAGACTCTACTTCAGACTAGTGGGGGAAACCGAACCTGACACCCTATTTCTGCCCAATAATCTAAGTTCATTCCCATGACATGAGGTTTCTGCTATATGGTGAAATACATTTATTGTTCAGTTGCTAAATCATGTCCTACTCTTTGTGACCCCATGGACTGCAACACACCAGGCTCCTCTGTCCTCCATTATCTCCTGGAGTTTGCTCAATTCATGTCCGTTGAGTCAGTGATGCTATTCTAACCATCTCATCCTCATATACCCCCTTTTCCTTTTGCCCTCAATCTTTCCTAGCATCAGGGTCTTTTCCAATGAGTGGGCTCTCCATATCAGGTGGCCAAAGTATTGCAGCTTCAGCATCAGTCGTTCTGATGAGTATTCAGGGTTGATTTCCTTTAGGATTGACTGTTTTACTAGTCAGAGACTTTGGATTCATATCCAAGCCTTATCATTTAATTTCTCCTAACAAAGTAACCAAGTGACTTCTCCATTTAAAAAGGAAAGGAAGTGAACTATAATCTGTAAACATATTACTCTAAATATTATGAAAGCACATAAATGAGTCAACAGTAACTTCCTCTTTGCTGAATAGCCAGCATGATCATCTAATGGGACTAAGAATCAAATAAATACACTGGCTATAAATATATTTCTATAACATGGGCAAATAAATATTCTTAAAGGAAAAAAAAAAGAGAAACACAAAGGAACCCAATCATAAAATAGCATTTTCATACTAGAAGATCTCTTAGATGGTCTTCCAGTCTAGTCCTTCTGCTTTCAATATAAAGAAAATGAGGTCCACAGAGGTTATGTGACTTGCTCAGCTAAAGCACCAGCATTAGAAACCAGGTTTAGCTCTCCTTTCATGTCAACCACCAATTTTTCAATAGTAAAAAGCAAACGAGCTCACAAAATGTAAACATTCTCATAGCTACACAACGAAAAGGAGTTGATGATACTGAGATGCAGTTCCTCAACAAGAGAAAACCACTTGAATGTTTTAGCTTTATTAGTCAAGCGAGCAAGATACTTAAATATCATTAAGTGAATATTGCTAAAACAAGAGAAATCTCTATTTGATACGTGCTATACAGTCACAGCCTACTCTCACCTATATAGATTAATCTGCTCTTACATAATTTATTAAATGACAACTTCTCTGCAATGACTTTTCTTGATGAGAACAATTTGAGAGCACATGACACAGCTAAAGGCTTTATCAACACAAAGTCAAAAAAGTGAAAATGTATGTCACGGTTCTCACAATAAAACACAGATAATCTAAAACAATTAAAAATAATTTTATTCAGCATTATAATCAGATACACTTTAATATGATATGTAAAACTTAAAATTCTACTTATTCTGGAGTGATTTGATTCTGGGAAACAATATATAACATCCACATATAAATACTAACAATAAAAAAATAATAGGTAGGTAAGGACAAGTGTGTGATAAGCATGGGTTATTGGAAGAAACTAATACATATAGCTACTTTCAAAACCTAATGGTTGCGTTTTCTGAATATTAAGTAACAGTCACGAGAATCTATTACATGCCAGGTATAATTTCTTTGTAAAGCACTAGAAAAAGAGATGAACATGTCCGTGATTAAAAGACCTCACCTTACAGTCTTAAGGGGCTACACTATAACCAAGGCTACCCCTTCAACATTACTGAGGGTGAGGCAGAGAGTACGTAACGGAAAGCTGGTCTGCCCTCAGTGGGCGAGGACGGTGGGACAGGAGGCCCAGATAATGACAAGGATGACGCGAAGCAATCAACACTAATACATGTGTTGGACTATATACCAAAGGACAAATAATCCTGTCGAAGGACAACAGGGTGCAGAGAGAAAACCAAGCAGATACAAGAATACAAATACACAGCAGGTCAAGAATGACCAATGGGAAAGCTGAATGACGAACTGGAAACTCTGGATTGGGGTCAGATTATAAGGGCTTTGAAGGAAAACAAAAAAAGAAAAACAAAAAAATACACACACACACACACACACACACACACACACGGTGGGATGGGGAAGTTACTACCGCTAGGATGTTTGCATAGGTTAGTTAACTCCCTGTCCAGTACAGAGTATGACACCCCAGTTTACACATGAGGATCTTCTACAAACCGAGCTCCGGAAACAGAACCTGAGAAGTGACTGGCTCAAGATGACACACACGTACCACACGGCAGAGCGAGGAAACCTCAACTGTGTCTGGTTCCCGTGATGGCAAAGCCTACGCCATTCACACCATTCCAGCCAGGCTTGAGGCCATCTTGGAGTCTGATTTTTATTCTGAAGAAAATAAGGATCTAAAGGTTTTTAAAAGGAAGATTAGTATGGTCAAACTTCTATTTTAGAAAGACAACTTCTGAAAACACTGCATGAAATGCTTTGCAGGTGATAGGAAAACTAGTTAAGAGAACTATTATAAAAATCTAGGCAAGAAAAGTTAAAGATTAGTTAAGACTGAGATAATGACAATACATAATGAAGGGATAACTTATATAGCACTTTAAACAAATAAGGCTCAGTGACCTACTTCAACGACGAGAAAAGGGAAAGAGTTCCAGCTTGGATGACTGTGTAGATGGAAATGCCTTTAATTAAAATAAAGAGTACAGAAGGAGGAGGAGATGAGAGCACAGAAAGAGAGGTGACCAGAGGAGGTGAGAGGTTCTAAACACGACAAATTCTCTCTGAGCCTTAGAAGTCATTAGGAAATACGAGTAAAGATCAGGAAAGTAATATGAACTGGAAACAGAGAACTGGGACACAACAGATGTTAAAGATAGCTGAAGTCATGAGAGTGGACAAGATGGCATAGAGAAAGCTTTTGGCCTAAGTTTGAGAAAGCAACTGCAAAGAGTAATAAATAAGGTCAAAAAGGACCAGGAGACAGTAGTGTACTAGGACTCAGGAGAACAGGTTATTTCATGAAATAATGGGATGCCAAAAGCAAATAGTTTGCGACTGAAAGGTCAAATAAGACAAGTGAAAATAAGCCATTGGCTTCAGAAATCAGTTGGCCACTGCTGACCTTTATAGTTTTAATAGTGGTGAGGTTAAAAAGAGAGAGACACAAATAAGAAGTGAAGAACTGTTGGGAGTACAGATAACTTTGGCACTGATGAGAATGAAAAAGACATTATGTGGAAAATACGGCACATAATGCACATAAAGCACATTGGCCAAAAAGTTTCCTGAGTTTTTGAAGCTTTGCCACCATCAAATAAAAGATATATTTATAAAACGCAAAGTTTACTTATTGAAATAAAGATTTATATTCCAAGAAGTCTATGTTTGAGAATGCTTCAAGATTCAAATAAGCCATACAATAACAGAAAGGGAAACATTGTTTCATTTAGGTAATGTCTGAATTAACATTCACAGTCTTCCAAAGGGGATCCTATAACTTTTGAATTTACCCAAATTTGCAATTCTTGCTATCAGTTAAGATATAAATAGGCAAATGTCTTCTGGCCTTAAGAATTGGTTAAAAAAAAAAATTACCACCAACTTCAAAATTGAATCAATATTCCTTATATGTATCAGTTAGGATTCCATAAAGAAATGTCATTCATTACAAAGAAATAATTGTCACTCCACTCTATGTACAGTAGGAAAAAAAGTCCTCACAAGAAGACAATGTAAATAATAATCAAAAGCTATGTTACTACCCACTCCCTAAATTTACTCTAACACAAACATACATGATATGCATAACCTTTCCACAACTCAGTAGGTCTTATAAAGAACCAAAAGAATTGGTCTCAATGAGAAATGTGTGGGAAAAACTAAAGATTCAGTAATGCTACTTCTTTTCTGAATCAATACAGGATCATTCTTTATCGACTATACCATCTTCCACAACAGCAGAATAGTTAAACTTCTTAATCTAACTGCAATCACAACCCATGAAGCTCAAAAACTGCATAATTATGACACAGAACTTTATCTGTCTCCACTAAAAGACTATTCAGAATTAAACATTCATAAGACAACTAAAGATCGACACTCATGCCAATAATTCAGTAAGTTCACCACAACTGTTAAATATTAACGACGTTAAGTGTGAGAGCTATTAGATCATTAGCCGAATTTTAAAACTACAGATCCAAAGTGAAGCTGGATCAAGATACTTGCATAGCCTAATAGTTCTCAAAAACACATACTGAAAATTAAAATAAGGCTTAAGTTAGTACACACGAATTTTGAATATATGGTGTCTTTACTTCACAGTATCTCATCTCTTAAATACAGTCTCAGAAACTTTATTCAGAGATGTTTTAATATCATTTGTATGTGTTAACAACTCCGCTCCTTCCTGCTGGTTATTTCACAAACTAATACATGTTTTTTCATTTTGTTTTTAAAGAAGACCAACACAATACGAAAGCACAAACACTCTGCAACATAGGTTGCCCATTGCAGATTGGTCACAAAGTCATAACCTATATATTGATTTTCTTTTATATTTGGTGGAAATCTGTAAACAATACCATTTTACAAAAGCATCATTCTTCAGAAGCCTAACTTCAAACAAACTAATTTTGTTTCCTAACTGAATCTAATTAAATGTTGTATTTTTGCATTTAAGTAGTTAAAGTTACAAAGATGAAATTTAACTATGAAAATACAATTCTATCTTCAGGACCACAACAGAAAATTCATCTCAAATGCTCTAAAATATGAGATCTGAAAGCTGAAAAAAAGACTGAGAATAAAATCTATTTTTCAGATCTATTTTATCTGCTTCAAGAACATAATGAAAACATATGTATACACTGGATTTTTTACATATAAAATCAATTCTTACTATATCTAAAAGCTTAAAATATTCTTTTACTGACTTTCATGTACAATAATACTTTAAATCAGATTTACATAGTTATGAATTAAGCTAATCTTTGAGAGCTACTTACAATCCAGAAGGCAAATTCCTGGCTGCAGTGACACCAAAGGAATACCCCACAGCTTCAACAAGGATGAAGTCACCCACCGCTGACAAAACCCAGGAGCCCAGCAAAAAGGACTAAAAACAAAACAGGAAGAACATTAGAGAGAAGAGTCTTCTAAAAAATAACCTTTATTCAATTAAAACCAACTCAGGTTTACACATATTTTTTAAAGTTTCTTTTTGTTCCAATAGACTTTTCAAAATGAGGGATTAAAACCATATTGATCAAATGTTATTAACTTCCATAATTTCTAAGTATGTTGAAGAAAAGATATTTATAGAATGATTTATTTTTACAAGTAATGCACAAACCATTAAGCAAAATAAGTGACTAGAACTGTATTAAAAGTCCTAATTAAAATGGTTATTGCCCACTCACACTGATATTATTATCTACTTTCACCATTATTATTATTTTATTATGCTAAAGGCTTCAATTTAAAATTTTTCTTCAGTTGATGTCCATGCTCCAAGTCAGACAGAGGATTATATAATAAAAAGACAACTGTTAAAAATAACACCAAGCTAACATAACTACTTAAAAATGAGAAAACAAATATTTTTTCCCCATAACCTAAGTAACAAAGGGAAAATACATAAACACTTACCGCAAATTTTCTGCTTCCATATCTTCTTTCAAATATCCTAAAATTATAAATAAGCAGACTACTGCAGAAAGTATCTTTCAGATCAAGGCAAATTATTCTCCCAGAAATCAACCTCCAGATCTATAGATGGGGAATTAAAAAAGAATAACAAATATGAGTAAGCTCTGTTGGGGGTCTCTTCGTTAGCCAATTTATTGCAACTGCTGTTGCTAAGTCACTTCAGTCGTGTCTGACTGTGCAACCCCACAGACAGCAGCCCACCAGGCTCCGCCATCCCTGGGATTCTCCAGGCAAGAACACTGGAGTGGGTTGCCATATCCTTCTCCAATGCATGAAACTGAAAAGTGAAAGTGAAGTCGCTCAGTCGTGTCTGACTCTTCGCGACCCCACGGACTGCAGCCTACCAGGCTCCTCTGCCCATGGGATTTTCCAGGCAAGAGTACTGGAGTGGGTTGCCATTGCCTTCTCCAAGCCAATTTATTATGTTTACTTAAATAGAGGAAAACAATAGAATGGGAAAGACTAAAGATCTCTTCAAGAAAATTAGAGATACCAACAGAACATTTCATGCAAAGATGGGCTCAATAAAGGACAGAAATGGTATGGACCTGACAGAAGCAGAAGATATTAAGAAGAGGTGGCAAGAATACACAGAAGAACTGTACAAAAAAGATCTTCACGACCCAGATAATCACAATGGTGGGATCACCCACCTAGAACCATACATCCTGGAATGTGAAGTCAAGTGGGCCTTAGAAAGCATCACTATGAACAAAGCTAGTGGAGGTGATGGAGTTCCAGTTGAGCTATTTCAAATCCTGAAAGATGATGCTGTGAAAGTGCTGCACTCAATATGCCAACAAATTTGGAAAACTCAGCAGTGGCCACAGGACTGGAAAAGGTCAGCTTTCATTCCAATCCCAAAGAAAGGCAATGCCAACGAATGCTCAAACTATTGCACAATTGCACTCATCTCACACGCTAGTAAAGTAATGCTTAAAATTCTCCAAGCCAGGCTTCAGCAATACGTGAACCATGAACTTCCAAATGTTCAAGCTGCTTTTAGAAAAGGCAGAGGAACCAGAGATCAAATTGCCAACATCCACTGGATCATCAAAAAAGCAACAGAGTTCCAGAAAAACATATATTTCTGCTTTATTGACTATGGCAAAGTCTTTGACTGTGTGGATCACAATAAACTGTGAGAAATTCTGAAAGAGATGGGCATACCAGACCACCTGACCTGCCTCTTGAGAAACCTACATGCAGGTCAGGAAGCAACAGTTAGAACTGGACATGGACCAACAGACTTGTTCCAAATAGGAAAAGGAATACATCAAGGCTGTATATTGTCACCCTGCTTATTTAACTTATATGCAGAGTACATCATGAGAAACGCTGGACTGGAGAAAGCACAAGCTGGAATCAAGATTTCTGGGAGAAATATCAATAACCTCAGATATGCAGATGACACCACCCTTATAACAGAAAGTGAAAAAGAACTAAAGAGCCTCTTGATGAAGGTGAAAGAGAAGAGTGAAAAAGTTGGCTTAAAGCTCAACATTCAGAAAACTAAGATCATGGCATCCGGTCCCATCACTTCATGGCAAATAGATGGGGAAACAGTGGCTGACTTTATTTTTCTGGGCTCCAAAATCACTGCAGATGGTGACTGCAGCCATGAAATTAAAAGACACTTACTCCTTGGAAGGAAAGTTATGACTGACCTAGACAGCATATTAAAAAGCAGAGACATTACTTTGCCAACAAAGGTCCATCTAGTCAAGGCTATGGTTTTTCCAGTGGTCATGTATGGATGTGAGAGTTGGACTATAAAGAAAGCTGAGCGCTAAAGAATTGATGCTTTTGAACTGTGGTGTTGGAGAAGACTCTTGAGAGTCACTTGGAGAGCAAAGAGATCAAACCAGTCCATCCTAAAGGAGATCAGTCCTGGGTGTTCATTGGAAGGACTGATGTTGAAGCTGAAACTCCAATACTTTGGCCACCTGATGTGAAGAGCTGACTCATTGGAAAAGACCCTAATGCTGGGAAAGACTGAGGGCAGGAGGAAAAGGGGACGACAGAGGATGAGATGGTTGGATGGCATCACCAACTCAATGGACATGGGTTTGGGTGGACTCTGGGAGTTGGTGATGGACAGGGAGGCCTGGCGTGCTGCAGTTCATGGGGTCGCAAAGAGTCAGACATGACTGACCGACTGAACTAAACTGAACTGAAGCTCAGATTTCCCAAGGCAGAACTGAAACTCTCCATCTCTGTGGCAGCTCTTAGAGACGCACACTGAGGGCATCCTAGGAGGTTCTGGCAAGAGACTGGGGCTATTCTCACTCCTGGAGAGAGGATGGTTGTCCTCCACCCGGGCAGGTCCCAGCCCTAGAGCACAGATGCCCACAAAGTGGTCCAATAAAATGGGACTGGTGCCAACTTAGCCAGATGAACCAAAGTAGCACCACCCCATGATCGGAAAGGTGCCAACTCGGGGCCACAGGGCCCTGACACTCCCTTAACAGCAGTGTTTCTCAGGGCTGGCCAGACGCTACAATCCCCTGGGGATCTTTCTAAAAAGTACACCAACTCTTAGGCTCTCTGACTCAGCTGGTCTAGGGCAAGGTCTGGGCATCAAGAAAGAAAACAGGTTATGTAGGTGATTCTAGTGCATGGACAGGGTTAAGAATCATTCAGAAGCTCTACGATATTCTCACAGAAAGCAGTAGTATAGATAAATAACTCAAGTCATAGGAACTTGGTGAAGCCCACCTGAGCAATGGCATTAATGACATCCTTATGAAGAAAAAGTGTCATGCTCAAGAATGGACTAACACACTTGCCAATGAGAGGTGGGTTCAATTTCTAATCCAGGAAGAACCCACATGCCTTGAAACAACTAAGCCAGTGCAGCACAACTGCTGAGACTGCAAGTTGCAACAACTAAAGCCCCCGTGTCCTGGAGCCCCTGCTCCCCACCAGGAGAAGCCCGAGAGCTGCAGCTAGAGAGTAGGCCCCACTCACTGCAACTAGAAAAATGCCCCTAAAAGACAAATCAATGAAAAATTAAAATCTTTTTTTAAAAAAAGGATGGACTATCATGCTTAAAATGGCTAATCAAGAATTTAGCAAATAAAAGGTGGCAGATTATAACCATAATTTGCACTAACATTCTGTGATACTATGATTTATAAATTAGAAATGGGGCTTCCCTGGTGGTTAAGCTGGTAAAGAACCCACATGCCAATGCAGGAGATACAAGAGGCCAAAGTTTGGTCCCTGAGTCAGGAAGATCCTCTGGAGAAGGAAATGGCAGCCCGCCCTCCAGGAGACTGGTGGGCTATAATATAGGCCATGGGGTCACAAAGCGTTGGATATGACTGAGCACATGCACACATGTGCACACACACACATACATTTAAAAATATATGTTTGGTCTTTGCCCCTGTTTCTAGCACACAACTCTTAAAGCCCTTGGAATTTCCAAAGTGAAGAAAGCCATCATGGTGTCTTTTGTCAGATTAATGACATGACTTTTAGAAGCACCTAAGCATGGGGACTGGCTTCCAGGAAACCAACCCTGTGATTAGCAGGCTGGAACCTTCAGTCCCACGCCCTGACCTCAGGGAGGTAGAGGAGCTAGAAGGTGGGTCAACTAACAGATGACCTGTGACGTAATCAATCCTGCCTGTACCAAGCCCTGGAGGAGAGCATGGCAAGGCACTCCAGTATTCTTGCCTGGAGAATCCCCATGGACAGAGGAGCCTGGCGGGCTACAGTCCATGGGGTCGCAAGGAGTCAGACGTGACTGAAGCAACTTAGCACACGTGCACACCTGTGTAATAAATCTCCATAAAACCCTTAAAAGGACAGGCCTCTGAGAGCTTCCCGGGTGATGAACACGTAGAGATTTGGGGAGAGTGGGGCAAAAATCCAAGAGAAATTTCCTAGTGGTTTAACCTCCACCATAAAAGAAATTCACAGACTCACAATCTGCTAGAGCTGAGAGAGCTTAGCACATCTAACAGACGCTCAAACTGAGGCAAGTTTCTGCAAATGTTAAGTATGCAAACTAATCATACCAACAAAACAGACTTAACACTGTTTAAATCTCTTGAAATTAAAAATCACATTTCCATAGTAAAAGGTGAAGTTGAAAAGAAATGTGCAAAAGGAAACTGGAAATACTGCAACTGCTTCATTATAATCTGCTTTGCTGAAATTATCAATAAATACAACTGGAAAAGTGACTTGTTAATGGGACAGTAATAATACATACATATTTCTTACAAACTTAGAGGCTATGAGACACTGAGACTGGCAGAAAGGAGGGCAAATTGGAGACAAGAGGCTTGCTTCCTCCTCTCCCGGGGCCAGTGCAGCGGCGCTCACCTGCAAGTCGTCCTTGACAGCCTGGAGGTCGTACACGAAGAACTTCTGAGAGTGCGGCAGGACGAGGGCCAGCAAGAGGGACAGGGCGCTGGGGACCAGTAGAAGGCTCTTGGACACAGGTGCCTTGTCTGGGGGGAAACAACACGGCTTTCAGAATGACCGTCCCTAAGAGTCTAGAGACCATGAGAGTGAAAAGTAAGAGAATTCACTTCTTTTGAATTAGAATGAAGACAAAGTTCGCATGCTCTGGAATTTAATTCTTATTAACATATATTTTCAAAACATCGTCCTGCAGAGGTAAGTGATCAAAGAGCGCTGGGAAACGCGTGGAATATGCTGACGGGTGCTTCGTTGCCATCTGGTTTTTATATGAAACCAAACCAAGTTTACTTTTATAGACTACCTTTCAGAAAAGCACCCAGTGAAGTGTAAAGAAACAGAGAAGTATGCTTTCTATCAAACTGACCAGTCAGCTCTTGAGCGTGACTGGGATTCAGGTACATAAACATTTATTTTAAGAAATTTAAGTTGCTCAGTTGTATCCGATTCTGCAATCCCATGGACTGCAGCCCACACAGCTCCTCTGTCCATGGGGATTCTCCAGGCAACAATACTGGAGTGGGGTGCCATTCCCTTCTCCAGGGGATCTTCCTGACCTAGGAATCAAACCCAGGTGTCCTGCATTGTAGGTGGATTCTTTACCATCTGAGCCACCAGGGAAATTTAAGAAGCGGTTAAAAGTGCTAACATGGCTGACTGCGGTGGCCTGCTGAGATTTTCCACAATGGGCACCCCTGGAGCCTTGTCTGCATCTCACGCAGCCTTCAAATGACAGCTCAGTTTCCACTTCCTTCCAGTCAGTCTCTCCCATTTTAGCATGGAGGGGCTTTTCCCCCACCCCGCAGCCCTGTCTCCAGGTACTACTTTACCAGTCAGGGTCTGGAACTTGCTTTGCCTTCCTGACTACACTAAAGATTCCCAAGTAAGAATCTTTAATGTGATTCTCTTCTATATGCTTCTGAATGCTGGCTATAAAGCCTAGCACAGCTCCTTGAGGGAATGAAATATCCAGATCATCAACATTCAAACCACAGGAAAGGGTCATCAAAAGGGACATTCTCAGATCACGTGAGGCACACTTCAACGATATTCATTATAAATTCCCTGGGAATGAATCCACTGGTCACGGTTGGTGGTGTGGTTACTGCACTTGTTTACATATATAAAAATAGCCCAACTATTTCCTCTCTGGTCAGGTCTCACCAACAGCTAAACTCAAACCACGGGTAAAGTCACTGCATACCTGCCTCCACCACCAAGATGCAATCAAGGCTCCAGGGAATCTAAAAGCTAACAGAGCTCCCCACGCCCTAGAAAACGGAGTCCCCACTGCCCAGGAACTCAAACGTACAGGGAAGCACTACAGCTGTGAGCCTGACCAATTCTATCGAGAGCTATTTCAACTGCAGTTGTCCTCATCTGTGAAATGAAGATAAGAGAAGCTCCCTCAGAAGTCCTATGAGAAGTAAGCGAACTAAAGAAAGAACGCAGGGAAAACCGCTCCAACCACTGCAATCACCATCCCAGGTGATAACTGTGGCAAGCTCCTCCCTTATCATTCAGACAGAACTGAGGATCGAGCATGGGTGACACAGGTGCTACTTGAAGGTTTCCTTCTTGACCCTAGACTTCACCTATGCTTGTGAAATGGGCCCCACCGTTTATTCCCGCCTCTTCCTTGCAGCCTGTAAGAAACCACTGTAGGTTCATGGTCTCAGACCTCAAATGGACACGTCCACTGAGCAGCAACACTACTGCTTTTCTCCAGTAACCTTCCTGCTCCACACTTGCAGTGGCTTACATGTCACCATATGAATAAATGGACCGTCTGCTTTGGTGTCCTCGTCCATATCTCTACAATGAACAAGCTCCTGCTGCTGGGGACCATGAATCACCCCAAGGCCCTGGGATAGAGTAGCAGATGATGGACAAAGCTCCTCCCCTTGTGGTGCTTACAATCTATACAGCGGAGAAAAGAATATACACAAAGTGAGGTAAATATGTACCATGACAGATAGAAATAAATGCTACGGGAAAATTAAGCAGGTTAAAGAGCAAGGCTGTGTGACCTACCATGAACTTCCTGCTCTCTTTCCAGGTAAGAAACAGGACTGCTGCCCACCCACACCTGCCCCTGGCTGAAGGGGGTACCTGGCGATGTGACCTGCTTTGGCCAACTCAACATGATAGACGTCACTCCCAGGCAAATACCGGACAGCCAGTGACTGTCTTTAACCTGGGCCAGTGCTCAAGATGGAGGATAGGCTGTGAGCTGGATCCCAGCATGGAAGACAGAGTGGAACAGGTCCTCCTGGGTGACTCACAACAGAGGGAGGCCATCAGTGAGAAACAAAGCTTGTCGTTTCAGACTCCTGACATTTTGGCTGCTGCAGCCTAACTAACTAGCCTGCCCTGGTGTCGGGGGGAACACAGTGCTGGTGGGGAAAGAACAGGGTGCTTAGAAGGCCCTTCTGACAACGTGAGATGTGAGCAGATGCCTGGGGATGTGAGCCCGGCAGGGGCCTGGGGAGCAGTGTTTCTGGCAGAGGGAAGAGCAAGTCCAAGGGCTGTGAGACAGAAACACACTCCATACGATAAAGTAAGGCTGCCAGGATGGCTAAGAGCAGAATATGTGCAGAGCAGATAGGCAGGATATAAGGTCAGAGAAGTTGAGGAGCAAACAGTGGAGAGCCCTTAGAGGCCACAAGGACTTTACCCTTTCCTCGGAGAGTGACAGGATGCTCTGGGGGAGGCTAAGATGATAACATGATCACGAGTGTCCTCAAAAGATCACTCTGGCTGCTAAACTGAGACAAGATTATAGGAAGGCAAGTGGACAAGAAGCGAGACCAGTCAGAAGGCAACCATGATAATCCTGACAAGACATGATCACAGCCTGGACCCGGGTGATTTGGGTTGGGGTGGTGAAAGTGGTCAGTACTGGTATATGTTTTGAAGGTGAGAGTGGTCAGAACTGGAGTATGTTTTGAAGGTACAGCAAGCAGGATTTGCTGGCTAACGGGGTATAAAGCATGGGCAAATGGAGCAATCAAAGACGCCGCCAAAGTTTCTGTTGTGAACAGTAGGAGAACTGTTGCCAGTTCCTCGGCTGGGAAATTCTGTCACCTTCACCCTTACCTTGCCTACAAGATCTTTACCCATCTTGCAAGAGTGTTCTCTAAGCCCACTTCCACCCCCACATACCAAGGCTCTATCCTCTCCACCAGTGCCACTCAAAGTCACCAGTCCACAAGTCGTCACCAGTCCACAGTGAGAACAGAGTGTAAACCAACACACTATGTCCTTCAGGTAGGAAGTCCTGCTATGAAAAATATATCTGTACTGAACACGCACTCTGCTCAAATGTCATCCTATCTGCGGCTACCCGCATGTGATTCTGTATCTCCTTCATTCTAGTGTATTTTTTCATAGCACTTATCAACAAGTGACTTATTAAATAGTGATTCCTCAAATCTATGATTCAAACTGACTGTAAGATACACCATTATTAAAAAAGAAATACTGTCAAATATAATTCAAAGATGGCACCAGTTGTAAAAAACAACCCAAGACTAGAAACACTAAAATGTGAGAAAAATTGCAATTTGGAATCAAGAAATACATTTCTTTGGGTACTGCCCATCTCCCCACCCTCAGTCCCCACTAGAATATAAGTTTATTTTTAAAAAATTAATTTATTTATTTTAATTGGGGGCTAATTACTTTACAACATTGTAGTGGTTTTTGCCATACATTGACATAATCAGCCATGGGTGTACATGTGTTCCCCATCCTGAACCCCTCCCACCTCAAATATAAGCTTCTTGAAGGCAGAAATTTTGTCTATATGTTCACTGCTGCAGTATCCCTCACGCTTATAGCAGGATCAGGTCCATAAAGGCAGTCAACACATGTTCGTGTGTTGAAGGGTGACTGATGTATAAGAGACACTCACTAAATACCAGTGAAAGCAACCTAACATCCATGATGGATAAGTGGATAAATAAAATGCATCCATATAATGGAATATAATCAATTATATTCAGTCTTTAAAAGGAAGGAAATCCTCACTTGCTACAACATAGATAAACGTTTTGGACATTATGCTGAAAGAAATAAGTCACACACAAAATGATAAGTACACACAAAATGACAAGTACATGCAAAATGATAAGTATGATTCCATTTATATGAGTTATCTAAGTAGTCAAATTCAGAGACAGGAAGCAGAATAGTGGTTTCGAGGGGCTGGGGGAGGGAAGAATAGGGAGCTGTTTAATGGGTATAGAGTTTCAGTTTTGCAAGATGAAAAGAGTTCTAGAGATAAATGCACAACAATGTGAATGTACTTAATGCCACAGTACCATACACCAAAAAATGGTTAAAATGGCAAATTTTATGTTATGTATATTTTACCACAATTAAAAATAAAGACTGAAAATAAATTATTTACTGACTTAATAACTGAACCTATTTTTACAACCATTTTCATTCTGTCTAGGACTAAACCACTAAAAATACAGATCCGAGTACTTAAATCAGAGAACTGTTAAGTTCTCCTCTTAAGGTGAGCAAAAATGAGGTCCCAAAAAACCAATGAGGAAAGCTACAAGATAATATACAATTGTCCAAGAAGTCCTCAATCACAGGGAAAGTATACAATATTACTGTATACAGCAAGATTTACTGATCAATTCAAGACCTGTGCATTTCACCATATGAAGTTTACAATAAGAAAGAAAAAAAAAAGAACTTGAAACAATGATCAAATTCTAGTTAACAACATGTACACTTAAGTGTTTAGAAACAAGTGACTACAACTTATTTTGAAATCATCAAAAAAATAAGACAAATTGATGAAACAGAGAACAGATATTTAATAGAACAAATGTGCAAAACGTTAACTGCAGAATCTAAGCGGTAGGTATATGGTGTTTATTACAACCAATCTTCAACTTTTCAGCACGTGTGAAATTTTTCATAACACGGAGGAGGGTACACAGTGAATCACAGAATTTGAGAGCTGAGAAAACACTTGGAAATACATTAAGCAAAAACTTAGAGAAAC